GCAGCAGCTTTGCAAAACTAGAGATGAGTGGCCTGAAACTGCGGACTGGCCTTGCAGTCCAAAGCTCAGTGCTGCTGGAACCTGAGGCAGCTCAGCTGATGATGGGCTTCTATTTCTCTTTAAAGAACAGTGGGCTGCTTGTTACCAGCACTGCTGTGGCGATGCGCTTTCATTTCTAAACAAAATTGTATCTATTGTTCATTATTCAGGTTACCCATGCTGTTGTTACTGTGCCAGCCTACTTCAATGATGCTCAGCGCCAGGCCACGAAGGATGCAGGAACCATTGCGGGGCTGAACGTGATGCGAATCATCAACGAGCCGTGAGTAGCCTTACCCTGCTGCCGGTGGGGGAGGTGGGGGTCGTAGTCCTGGGTTCCTGAACGGGCTGTTCCCTCTGCAGGACTGCTGCTGCCATTGCTTACGGCTTGGACAAGAGAGAGGGCGAGAAGAATATCCTCGTGTTTGACTTGGGCGGTGGAACTTTTGATGTCTCCCTCCTCACAATTGATAACGGAGTGTTTGAAGTTGTGGCTACCAATGGTGACACTCACCTGGGTGGAGAAGACTTTGACCAGCGTGTAATGGAACACTTCATCAAACTCTACAAGAAGAAAACTGGAAAAGATGTCAGGAAGGATAACAGAGCTGTGCAGAAGTTGAGGCGGGAGGTGGAGAAAGCAAAGCGGGCCTTGTCATCTCAGCACCAGGCTAGGATTGAAATAGAATCCTTCTTTGAGGGAGAGGATTTCTCAGAGACACTTACTCGAGCCAAGTTTGAGGAGCTGAACATGGTAAGTTTAGAAGGGTAAAGTCACATTGCCTCAGCTCTAGACTGGAGACTTGTCAAGCTGCAGCATTTCATGCTGTGATGTTGTGCTTTGGGGTATAAATAACTCCCAGAGCAGGCAGCTGCTCCTTCCCGGGGTAGCTGGGGCTGTGTGTGTTGGTGACAGCTGAGGTGTCATCGGGGCTGGTCATAAGCTGGTTGATGTTCTTCTTCCATAGTGGTTGTCCTTGGCACTGTAAGGCCACATAATTCAGAGGCGAGGCGTGTGGGAATATGGTCTTAACAGTCCTGGGTGGTTTTGTCTTCCTAGGACCTGTTCCGTTCCACTATGAAGCCCGTTCAGAAAGTTCTGGAAGATTCTGACCTAAAGAAGTCTGATATTGATGAGATTGTTCTTGTTGGCGGCTCTACTCGCATCCCCAAAATACAGCAACTAGTTAAAGAGTTCTTCAATGGGAAAGAGCCTTCTCGTGGCATCAATCCAGACGAGGCCGTAGCCTATGGTGCTGCTGTCCAGGCTGGCGTTCTCTCTGGGGACCAAGATACAGGTAATGACACCTTTGCTGTCACTTGGAGTGGTGGCTCTGAACAGCGGGTGTGAGTTATGGACAGACGTAGTGGAACTCGTCCAGTCCTTCAGAAGGATCCCGTTAGCAGTGGTGAGATGTGTGTGTTTCTGTTGAAGTCATGGCAGTCTCGCGCTCTGTCTCTTCCAGGTGACTTGGTGTTGCTTGATGTCTGTCCTCTGACACTCGGCATTGAGACTGTCGGAGGTGTCATGACCAAGCTCATCCCAAGAAATACTGTTGTTCCCACAAAGAAGTCTCAGATCTTCTCCACGGCTTCTGACAATCAGCCAACTGTGACAATCAAGGTCTATGAGGGTAAGTGTCCCCTGTGGTGGACATGTGACAGCTGGAATCTGTCTGTAGGCCTCTCACTTGCTGCTGTCTTGTCACAAAGGCTGTAGATGGTTCCAGATGGTTATGGATATCTCCTTGTGGAGAAGAGCTCGGTAGCAGTGCTGCCTTTCCGAAGCTGCTCTGATCGAGCTGCTTGACCTGCATCAAAAGCTGTTCCCAGAGTGTGTTTTCTCCATGGTTCTGTTCCGAAGAGCTCAGTGAGAGGTGACACTGTAGGTGTCTAAACTAAAACCTTACCTTTAGAAAGGGGTGTAGCTAGTGGCTTCACAGAGCACAAACCACAGCTGGACACGACTGAAACCGTATCTAATTGTGTCTTCTAGGAGAGCGTCCCCTCACCAAGGATAATCATCTTCTGGGAACCTTTGACCTCACGGGAATCCCTCCTGCGCCCCGCGGTGTCCCCCAGATTGAGGTTACCTTTGAGATAGATGTGAATGGGATCCTCCGTGTCACTGCTGAGGACAAGGGCACCGGCAACAAAAACAAGATCACAATCACCAACGATCAGAATCGGCTGACACCAGAAGAGATCGAGAGGATGGTTAACGATGCTGAGAAGTTTGCAGAGGAAGACAAGAAGCTTAAAGAGCGCATTGATTCCCGGAACGAGCTGGAAAGCTATGCCTATTCCCTGAAGAATCAGATTGGGGACAAAGAGAAGCTGGGTGGTAAGCTGTCATCTGAAGACAAAGAAACAATAGAGAAAGCGGTAGAGGAAAAGATCGAGTGGCTGGAGAGCCATCAAGATGCAGACATTGAAGACTTCAAAGCAAAGAAGAAGGAGCTGGAGGAAGTTGTCCAGCCAATTGTCAGCAAGCTGTACGGCAGCGCAGGCCCTCCCCCCGGCGAAGAGGAAGCGGCGGAGAAGGACGAGTTGTAGATACTGGCATCTCCCAATGTGGTGTGTGTATATATTGGACTCAGGAACACTTGTTTAAAATATTGAACTCTTAATTTGGAATGTAACTTTGAATCTTCACTCGTGAGTGGAGCTGGAACCGCTAGCCCGAAGTGGCTGTATACTGCTTTTCGTTAGCAGTTGCTTGGTGCCGGGGGGGGGGAAGGGTCGTTGGGGGGGGTGTAAATGCGCCGTGGGTTTAGAAGTATTGGCCGTGGGAGTGTTCTATTTAACAATTGGTCATGTGAACTTGGCGTAGAACTTTTCTACCTGAAGTGACCACAATAAATTTGTTACTTACACTGGGCTTTCAGGGGTTGCCTGTTCCGTGTCCCCAGTTAGAGCAGCTGGCTCGAAGCAGAATGAGGGTTACGGCCCAGAGCTCTTGGTATGGGAGCCCTCCAGGGGCCCGGGGAGCTGCAGCAGCCCCTACCCCCCTTGCACGAGGGTGACCTTCTGCCCTGGGGCTGTTGCTGGGGCTGGAGGGTGGCTTTGCCCTCTCCTGCTCTGGCTGGAGCAGCCTCTGCTCCCCTGCTTGGGCAGAGCCTGTGCTGCCTGCCCCAGAGGAAGGTCATCCCTCCCATGCTTTGCCATCAGAACTTCCTGCAGTATTAAAGCTATTTCTAGGAAGTACTACTTTCTCACAGGAGGCAACTGAGCAGGTTTCTGAAGACTAATAAATGTTTAAAAACCCTGTGTTAAGTGGAAACTCAGTCTTTTTGTTTGGCTGTGATCCATATCCAGTTCCAGGGATTAGATAAGAAATTGCCCTGAGTGGTGCCTGCTCTGTCCTTCCCTCCAGCCCTTGCCCCTTCACATCTTCCCTGCTGCGGGGGACAGCTTTTCTCTGTTTTTCCTTTACTCATTTTGAAAATAGTGAAAGCTCAAACTTTCAAATCATTCCCCCCAAGAAACTTTCTTTCCAGACAAGGCTGTGGCTCTGCAGGTCGAAGTGTTTCTGTACCCAGCAGTACACGAGTTTCTTGTGGTGGAAGGCCTGCAGCCACGCTCCAGCAGCCTTCGGCCGAGTGCCAGCGGC